GCGTGGGTCCTGTTGACATGGATACCCACATGATGACATGCCGAAGAGCTGAGCAGCGGGTATGTGAGTGCAAGGCCAGTGATTTTACTACGTGCCTGCGCAGCCTGCGCAGCCATAATCTGGATGATGTTGCGATTCGCTCTTTCTTTCACGCGATGTGGCCCGGGTGTGTTCGTTTATGGCCTGGAAGTGCTCCTTCGCGCAAAGGGCGAAAAACATTTCACATTGTGGGCGCCTGAGCGCCCGCGCGCGTGCGTGCGTGCTTGCGTGATTGCGTGCGTGCCCGCGCTCACGTGTGCGTTCGTGCGTGCGTGCGCGCGTGTGTGTGTGTGTGTGTGTGTGTGCGTGTGTGTGTGTGTGTGTGTGTGTGTGTGCGTGTGTGTGCGCGTGTGCGCGTGTGTGCGTGCGCGCGCGCGCGCGTGTGTGTGTGTGTGTGTTTGTGTGTGTGTGTGTGTGTGTTTGTTGTGTGTGTGTGTGCGTGTGTGTGTGTGTGTGTGTGTGTGTGTGTGTGAGTGTTTGCGTGTATGCGTCTGTGTGTGTGTGTGTGTGGGTGTCCGTACCCGTTTGGCTCAAGCCGTCTGGGCTCGAGCAGGTTTTGGCTCAGGTGCGGCGTTCCGGCGCGGGCCCGACGGAGACCGCGGCGGCGCAATGACAGCGGCATCGGGCGGCTGCCCCCGCCCGCGGTGCCAGCGCTGCGGGCGCCGCGGGCGCCGCGGGCGCCGTTGGCGCCGCGGGCGCTGCGGGTGCCGTCGGGGCTGCAGGCGCTGCGTGCGTCGCCAGTGGTGCTGGCGCTGCGGGCGCCGCGGGCGCCGCGGGCGCCGCGGGCGCCGCGTGCGTTGCTGGCGCCGCGGGCGCCGCGGGCACTGCGAATGCCGCCGGCGCCGCGGGCGCCCAGGCTTCATTGGCGCCGCTGCTGCCGCCTGGGCGGTTGGTGCCGCGTGCGCCGCCGGCGCTGCTGGCGCTGCCGGGGCTGCCAGCGCCGCGGGCGCCGCGGGTGCCTGTGGCGTTCTTGGCGCCGCACTGGCCGCCGGCTGGCGATTCCTGCCTTGCGGGAGCTGCTGTCGCCGTGGGCACCGCGGGCGCGGTTGGTACCGCCTCGGCCGCCGCGGACGATGCTGCGGCGGCGGCCGCTGCCAGGCTTTGGGCGGCGACAGCCGCCTTCGCCCGAGCGGCGGCGGTTGCGGCCCGCGCGGCGGCCAGGCCGAGAGCGCCACTTGGCTTGGGGCATATATTCCAGCATCATGACGGACCCCAGCAGCGCAGCACGATGGTCCTCAGCAACACGGCTATGAGCAACGCGACGAACGGTTCGCGTTGTATCGGGCCCTGCGTTGTATCGGGCCCTGGGACCGTTGCGGATTGAGCCGTCTCGGAAAATGCAGCAGAACTGTGGGGTTCACCAGCGTCACCACCCCGACCAATGCCCGCGAGAAGGACTGGCAGAAGCAGTGGCAGCTGTCCCTTGCGCTGCTCCGAGACGAGTGATGAGGGGCCCTAGCTGCTCCACCAACGCGTGCGCAGGGTCAGTGGCAGTCCGCCCTCGCGATGCTCCGAGATTAGCTGGGAGCGATGCTGGAGCCCACCATCAGCTGCTCCAGCGTCCCGATTAATGCGTGCGAGCAGGAATTGCAGGTGCAATGGCAGCTGGTCCTGACGCTGCTCAACGAGATGGTGCGGGTGAAGCTGGGGCTCGCCATCATCTGCTCCAGCGCCCCGATCATCGCGTGCGAGGGGGACTGGCAGGAGCAGCGGCGGCCGATCCTTGCGCTACTCAGAGAGACGTTGGGGGTGAAGCTGGAGCCCGCCAGCAACGCCCACTCCAGCGCCCCGACCAGCGTGTGCGAGAAGGACGGGCAGGGGCAGTCGTAGCCAGTCGTGGCGCTGCTCAGCTGGATGCTGGGCGTGAAGCTGGAGCCCGCCGCCGTCTGCTACAGCGCCCTGATCTTCGCGTGCGAGAAGAACAGGCAGGGGCATTGGCATCCGGCCCTGGCGCTGCTTCGAGATCAGTAGGGAGTGGAGTCGAACCCCATCGATATGTGCTCCAGCTTCCCGATTGCTGCGTGCGAGAAACAGAGGCGGGGCAGGGGCAGCTGGCCTGGCGCTTCCCAGCGATATGTTGGGGGTGAAGCTGGAGCCCGCTATTATCTGCTACGTCGCCCCCGTCCGCGCGTCCATCGCGAACGCGCGCAGTGAGATGCTGGTTGCGAAGCTGGGGCCCGCCATCATCCGCGATTGCGCCCTGATCAGCGTGGGCGGGAAAGGCGGGCGGGGGCATTGGCAGCCGGCTCCAGCGCCGCTCAGTGACATGCTGTGGGCGATGCTGGAGCTCGCCTTCATCTGCGACGGCGCTGCGCTCAGCAGATCCGAGAGGACTGGGCATGGTCAGCAGCGGCCGGCCCCATCGTTGCTCAGCGAGATGCCGGAGCTGAAGCTGGGGCCCGAGCATCCCCGGCCCAAATGTCTGCGGCAGCGCTCCGACCAGTGCGTGGGTGGCTTCCCTGGCCCATCGCCTGTCGCGGCGTCGCCGACCCATCTCCTGATCCAGCTGGCGGTGGCAGCCAGCCTGGACAGTGGCGGCGCGGTCGGAGTGGAGGCGGGGGGGTATTGCGGATTTCGGGGTGATGGTTGGGGGGGGGGGGCGCTGCGGAGGAGGTGCAGGAGGTCTTCGCGGAGTTGGGGGGGTGGGGGAGGCCAGACAGACTTTCGACGACGCGCGCGATGGGGATCGTGAGGAGGGCGGCAAGGGGGTGGCTATGGAGGTGGGGGCGTCGAGATGCAGGATGCCGATGACGTGGTCTCGGGGGATGGCGTCGACGGGGGCTTCGTGGGGGCGGTCCGCGCAGTGCTGGCGTCCAGCGATGCTTGGGGGGGCGGGGGTGGTGGTGGTGGCGCTCTCCTGGGGCCCTGCTTGCGTCGTGGCGGGCGGCGGCGCGGGGGTGCAGGGGCGGGCCGGCGAGGCGACGCCCTGCAACATTCCTGTTCCCAATCCCGCGCGCGCCATCCTCTCGATGCTGCGCCGCCAATCGTGGCGATATCGTGCCGGCAATCTCTGCCCGACGACAGCGTCACATGCCCGGAGGGGCAGGGCGAGCTTGCCCAACTCATTCGCGTTGACGTGGCCGTGTTGACATGGCCGTGTTAGCCGCGTGCTCTCATCCCCGTTATCAGATTTTGCCGCGTATTCAATGCGATCTATGCGTCAGGGGATGGGTATTTCCAGGGGGGTGGTAAGGGGGTGGCCATGGAGGAGTGGGGGCGTCGAGATGAAGGAGGCCGTCGACGCGGTCGTGGAAGCGGGCGTCGATGGGAGGTTCGCAGAGGCGGTTCGCGCAGTGCGTGCGTCCACCGCTGCGGGGTGGCGGGGGTGCCCGCAGCTCTCCCAGGGCCCTGCGTGCGTCGCGGCGAACGGCGGCAAGGGGGTGCAGGGGCAGGGCGGCCACGTCCTGGGGTCTGTTCCCAACCGTGCACGCGCCAATCCCTCCGTTGCCACACCACGAATCTCGTTTATTTTATGCCACCGATGGCTGCCCGGCGACAGCGTCCCAGCCCCTGTGTGGCGCGGCGAGGTCGTTGGAGAGTGATTGCGGGGGTCGGGCGCAGGATCCCGGCAATGGTGGTGGCTCTGAGGGCCTTGCATGGGCGATCCATCTTCGATTGCCGTGCTTGGGGGGGAAGCAGTTGAAGCTCCCCGCCTGCACCTCTGCGCGAGACCTGAGGGTGAACGAGCAAGGGGGCGGGCGCTGGGGGGGGGGCGCCGAAGGCAATGTGCGCTGAGGGCGCAAGAAGGGAAGGTTGGAATCAGCGAAGGCGGCGAGGTGAGTGCAGACCCTTTGTTGCAGGCCCCTTTTTCACCCCCCGAGCTTGCGCTGCGCCGCCCTGTTGCGATGCGTCGCGCGGCCGCGACGGCGCGGGCCCAGTCGAGCGCCGCGGCAGCGGGTGGTCGCATGAGGGCGGAGACAGCCCCGCGAGCGAGTTGGACTTGCGTCGGTGGACGGCCCTCGAGGACTCGAGGACGCCTCCGCCGATCCCCCGACAGACGCGGACTCTCCTGCAAGTTCGCCGGCGTCTTCCTGGTCCGAGTCGGCCAGTGAGATCCGAGGTGCGCGATCCGAGGTCCATCTCGCGCCGTGTGTCTTGTCGTGTACGTCGCGGGTGGCAGACTGGCAGCCGTCGCCGTGGGCGGCAGAGGCGGCGGCGCGCGACGTGCGCTCGTCTCCCACCCGTCCCCCGCCGATCGTGGGCCGCGCGCCCGCCGCGGAGCCGTCGTCTGGGGAAGACCGTGCCTCGCCCGGCCAGTGCAGTGTGGCCTGTGGTGGATGGTCGAGGAGGCGTGGGCTGGTCCCCCAGGTATTTGCTGGGCACTGGGATCCTTTCTCCAGGGACTACAGAATCCGAGGGTTTGGGGGAGCTCGCCTTGTAATGGTCCCACGACAGGTCGCCATCGACATCAGGTGCTCCTGCCAAGGCGCGGGCGGCAACCAGCTGGCACCCGTGGCCCGCGGGCCTCGGCGGGCCTGGCCCGACCAGCCTGGCGCAGCCGAGTTCCGGCCTGACTCGGCTGGGCACCTTGTTGGCCTGGCGGACGCCGCCAAGCGACAGCTCGTGGCTCGCGTCAGGCGGCTGGGGGGCTGGCGCAATTTAGCTTGGAGAGCTCGCTGCTCGCAGAATGGCGGCGTCGCGCTGGGCCCATGGTAGCGTGGCGTGAGGTTTCCTGGCGACTATCTCGCAGCGCGTGAGTTGGGCACCGCGGTGCAGTTTCTTGTTTCAGGCGGTCGAGCGCTGGGCGCGCACCGATCCGTCACTGTTGGGCCTCTTGACGCACCGATCAGTCGCTCAAATCACGCGCCGATTAGTCGCCTGTTGCGCCCCGCCATTCACCAGTTAGTGGCACGCGTCGATCTGTTGCCTGATTTTGTCGTGTCTCACTCGCCCTTGCTTCGCCGCTCCTGGCCCTAGGCGCAGTGGCATTTTTTGGTTGGAGGTGGCGTGGCGCCCCCGCC